CCCCAAAACCCCAAAACCCCAAAACCCCAAAACCCCAACATTCCTCATGGGTTAAAATTTATAAAGTCTCAGTCTGATAATGAGCAGGCCCAGGAGAAGCTTCTTTAGGAGTCTTAAATCTCTTGTCAGAGACAAAGAATGCAGTGCTATTTCTGTACGGCTTGGTGGTCTCCAGAAAAGTTCTGAGTTTGTAGTACCCTGGCCCTCTCAAATTAGCTTTTGAGTCAGGTCTTTTAAGAGATTTTACTGGAATAGCAACAGATGATCTCTTATTATTCAAAATTTTAGAAGCTATTGTATGGTTATCAGTCGTATAATCAGCATCTCAAGGTGACTTTTTGATATAAGAAGCATCTTTCTTCACAGAAGATATAAACATTGAGCTTGATTTTGGAATAACTCTGCCATAAGCATTCCTGGATTCTTGAGTCTTTAACTTCGTCTGATGTTCTATAGTGTGACTCATTGTTCCCTCATAATATCCAGGCCCTGGATCTCTTTTCTCTCCTTCATGAGAATACCCTCTCTTTTGCTTTGTTCCAAAACTAGTAATCTTGAGCTGTTTCTTCTTATTCTTGTCTAGAGGGGATTTCAACTTGTAGCTTCCTGGGCCAGGCTTTGTCTTCTTTAAGTACATTCCGCTGAAACGTTTCTCTCCAGAGATAAAGGGACTTGACCTATTCTTCTTAGATGATCTGGTGATAGTGTATTTGCTTGGCTCTCCTCTTAGATTATATGAGCCTGGACCAACCTTTGTGTTAATATTGTGAGGCTTTTTGAACCGCTCGGCTGAGATAGAATATGATTGGAGGTCTGTTGAGATTGATGTTTTGTTAAAATAACTATTCATATATGGATCGTAGTTTCCAGGTCCAGGTCCTGAATCTTCATCATTTGAATCTTCAAGATCGTCAAGGTAAGAGTCATGTCTATTTTCTCTGAGAAGCCCTCTTACAATAGTTTTAGGCCCGACATATACTTTCGGGGAATACAAGGAGTTATATCTTTTTCCTGGTTTTGGAAGATCGTAATCTCCTGGTCCAATATCAATTGAGTTTGAGTTGTCAAAGAAAGTTCTTCTATCTGCATTTGGAACTTTGAAACCAGAATTTTTAGTCGAAAGTACCTTCTTATACGCAGTTTCAGTCTCGTAATGACCTGGGCCGACTTTATCATTTCCTGTCCCAGTATGTATGACATTCTTAGGCCCTTGTCTTATAACCTTCCCATCAGGTGTCTCTTGGTATCCAAATACTCCATTATGAGACGGAATAGACGCAGGTCCAGGATCTACTGACCTCATGAGAGTTTTATTCTTACTAAAAGTAGCGTATCAGGGTGAACTCCAGCTATCATTAATTGTTGAAGAATTATAGTACCCTGGGCCAATGACCTCTTTCTCTTTTGGAGGATTAAATCTGCCAACCTTGGAAATAAAACTTGTTGTTGGCTTAAAATTCTCTAATTGCCGAAGAGAATACACTGAAGTCAAGTTATTCTGGGTATATTGGAATTCAGAGCCACTCAAAATCCCGTTGTTGAGGACAGTATTGTAGCTTCATGGGCCTGGCGACTCAGCCTGGCCTTCTTTTTGACTAGAAAGGGTTAAGAAAAAGAAGATTAGTCATCCAAATTTGGAGTGATTGAGATAAAAGTAGAAGACTAAGATATATTTTAAGGAAATTGCCAATTTTTATAGAACAAAATTTGGGATTTAGTAAGATCCTGAGATATTTTATACAAGAAATCAGTTACTTTCTAAAAATTTTATCTTAAAATTCATAAAATAGTAATTCAAGCTTACTGTTTTTCCTTTGAAGAAATATTGAAAGGTGCATTGTTAGGAAGGACTTTATATTTACGGAGACCAATGTAGCTTCCAGGGCCAATTTTAGAGTTCCCTTTGAGCTTGAAACTTGATTCTGTCTTCCTATCACTTCTAGCAAACGACATTAAGTTATATTTGTTCAGTCAATAATTTTATAATTTATTGGGGTTTTGGGGTTTTGGGGTTTTGGGGTTTTGGGG